GAACACTTCTGTTCACACAACGACTGGAGTGCAGCCACACTTCGCATTCTTCTCCCGGCATGCACAGAGACAAGTGGGAATTGAGTGACCAATAATAGAAAACGAGAGTACTGAAGGGTTGAGAGAAGCTCACAGAGTAATTAAAGAAATTTCTGAACGAATGTCTAGAGAATTCCGGAAAGTAGCAGACCGAGATAGAGTCAATCAGACAGTACAGCTTGGGGAAACTGTTTGGGTGAGAGATGAAGCTCCTATCCCAGGTACCAGTAGGAAATTAAATGCTAAGTGGAAGGGCCCATATACAGTAACTGAGGTCATACCCAATGGTGCAGCGTATGAGTTAACCCACCTTTCAGATGAGACAGAAGTAATCCGATGAGCAGCAGAAAAGGTGAAAAGTTGTATCAACAGAGATATGTTTGTCCATGTAAATGACATCCAGGTTCCCCCTAATGATTCTTCCTCAGAATCAGAGCCTGATGAGAGAGATGCTATACGGGATGAGGAGAGAACAGTAGTTGCTCCTGCTCCACGATTTCCCGTAAGGACGAGAAAACCCGTGGTGAGATTGGATCTTTAAAAAGCAGTGGGCTTTTTAAGTGACCCCCATTGGCTGATGATGTGTAGTTGATAGTGAAGTGTGCAGTCAGTTATAAGTAACTTGTGTTAAAGGGAGAGGTAAAGAATTGATGTTTTTGTTTTTTTTATTGAAAATATTTTGCAGAGGAATGGTCAATTTGCAGTAAAAGACATAGAGATTGGAAGATGTATTGGCAGTTATGCAATCATCTGAAGGGTATCTGTTACTAGTTTGAGTAAAGATACCAGTGGTGAATTCTCAAGTTCTGGTTGGTAAGTCCTATGTAGGCTGGGTGTTGTTGGTATATAGGTGTAGAGTTCGTGACTTTCAGGGAGTATTTGGGCATAGAAATATGGCGCTATTAGTTCTACATGGCAAATGAATGCCATAAGTACAGACAGTTTTTGGTTTGGTGGTGTTCTCATGAGGACCGTTTCGTTAGCATTGGATTCTTGGGAATACCCGCTCGTTCGGAGTCCCTTGAATGTTGCTGCCTCTCGCGAGTGCGACATGACTCTAGATTAAGGGCAAACAAATCATTCCTTCGACTTGATGGGGTCCGTTCGTCTATGTCCTAGCTTGAGAAATCTTTGTTAAATCTCAGGGTGTCCTGTAAGCATTTGACCAATCGCGGAAAAGAAACTTTCATGACCTATGAACATTGAAATTTGAGTTCTGTAAGGAAAATTTTGAGTGTGCACTTTATCTACCGATATGAGGGTGTATTTTGTAACATGTAACACCATTTATTATTATTATCTGAGATGATGTATGTAACATCATTTATTATTTTTGGTGCCATTATGTTATGGTATATGTATCCCAATACAGTAGTACCCCGATTTACGCGGTCAATTGAACCCCTGGGGTACCGCGGAAAGTGAAAACCGCGTAAAGTGAACAACAGAACATATAGGATTAATTCCAGTAGAGACTGGCCCGACCCCCAAACTCCACTTTTTCAGACACAGTACCTACGTTGTAGTAAAAATTACATCTTAATTTTATGATGGTATGCACACACATTTAACAATTAAGAGAAATATCAATAATATTAGTTTTTTTTAACACTTACATTAGTAGAAAAGATGGCTGGGCACACGGGGAAGGGGGGTTGGTTCCGAGGCAGAGGGCAGATTATTGGCCCTCACCTGTATCACTATCCACCACAGAGGCTTCCAGGGCCTCTTTGTCAAACCCCTCAAAGTTCATATAAGTCCATATCCTCACTATCACTGACTTATGCCGGTTGTGGTGGGTGGCGGGTGAAGAACTCGGTAATGTTTTGATGACTGGGCGACCTTGTGCGCATCCTGCCTGCGCCGCTTCCCGCGTATATGAGTAGATGTACCGCGGAAAGTGAAAGTTCGGTTCTGGCGAGGCACAGCATAAATGAGAAATCGCGGAAAGTGAATCACCACTGCATCACTATATTTGAAATCAACTCCCTGTACATACAGGTCTGAGGTACATTATACTGTACATCATATACGAGAAATTCATTGTTCATCACTGTTTGGGCAATATCCAGTGTGACACTTTCAGAGTATTTTAAGAAACCTTGCATGTACAGTCAAGGTCAAAAGTTTGCTCCCGCTCATACTGAAGCAGTATCGACCCCTAATGAGATACAACAGTCAGAGTAAGTCAGTTCGAAGACTCATTCCTGTGACTCGGTTTCACCTCGGGGAGCCAACGTTTTTCCCCGACTGTCCAGTCATACCATAAATTACTTTTACCCCTTAGTGTGATGGATTTCAAACTGAAAACTACCTCTCCTGTCCTTTCAATAGGGTTGGTAAGTGTAATTGTGATTCCTTTTTCATTAATTCTTTGTTTTTCAAAATATTTTATAATCATACATTTGCTCCTCTACTTGCGAATGAGTTACGTTCCCGAGGCTTGTTTGTAAGTCCAACTTTACTCCTGTAGATACCAAACATATTGTAAAAAATGAAAAGATTATGGATATTTAGTACAGCTATACCCTTTAATACAGCCTTAAAACCTGGCTCACTCTTCTCTTAGGTAATGTTTGTTCTATCTGGAATTTTCTTAAAAATAATCCAGTCTCATCCACATTAAACACCTGTTCTGACAGGTAACCCCCCTCATTGATGATGTTTGTATCTCTGAAAGTTTGTAAGTTGAACGTTCTTAAGTAGAGGAGCACCTGTACTTGTATTTTGAAACACAAGATTACACAGAAAAGTAAATTTCATTATGAAGAGAGGAATACTGTAGTGACAGCTCCACATATTACCATATAAGGACAGTATGACTAACAATGTGGAGTCAGATGTGTGAACTTTTTAAGGATTTATTTGCTGGTTTGTCATATTGTTTGACACTGAATGGGTAAAGTAATTTACAGTCCGGCTGTACACTTATACTATACAGTACTACATATAACTAGAGAGATTCATAAGGACTTACTGAAGTGGATCCATAAATGATAAAAAAACTTCTAAGTTTGGATGAACTTACTCCACATGGGTGGTTTACTGACTGTTTACATACTACACGCTAATGATGTACAGTACTCTTCTACATTTGACAATCAGTTTTACACTTAACAATCACTTCACTCAAAGCTTACCATTAAGTCTTCAATGGCAAATCAAACCAAAATAAAAAATGGAGTCCAACCACATAACTTTTGGTTGTTTGAGTTCCAATCTGTTTATATAAAGAGATTAAAGTAAATAGAGTAAATATGGATTTACGGGTTTGACTTCTCAATAATAAACACCAAATTAAACCTGTGTATTGAGACCACCCAAGAGCTGAGGCCAGGTCCTCTACAGAGAGGTGCTGGTCTGAGTACAAACACACACACACACACACACACACACTACAGAACTAGCAATCACTCTTCCATTTACAAAAGCTGCTTTGTGAAATAAAAGTGAAATAATACTCAATTCCTGTAATATAGAATTATGAAACTTAAGTTACAAAACAAAATTCCAGAAAACTAATTCTGGAAAATAACTTAAAACTGTTTTTCACATCAACAGAACAGTACTGCTGCACCATGCACACACAGGTTGTAGAGCGATATCCTGACAGTCACCCCTCTCAGTACAGTACAGTATGGCTGGCAGATCCCTGTGTGGGGATTTAACAGAGGAAAAGTTTGTCACAAAAAACATTTGCATTGTTTGTGATGCATATAAGTGAATTATGGGTCCTGCACAACACATGATAATCACCATGAGGTAGCCGACACGCGAGAAATTTTGCGTAAGTGTGAGCATAGGAGACCGTGGACCAACATTACTGGCTAGAATCTTTATTGTATGGTGGGTCACTGTACTTGACTGAGTGCACTATATTAATTAACACGAATTTGGAGGGATTGAATTCTATTGGTCGGATCACGGAGGTGGTCCGAGTACACAGGTGGTGGGATTGGCAGGTGTCACTATCTGGTACTAAAAACTTGGACCTTTTTACCACACAGAAGTAAGCAAAGTGTTCACAAATTAACTTCTCTTTAACTCAATTTAGTATAATAATGTTTTTGTGTATAAATGAACTCATGACTGTATGACCTTCCTTGCATATCTATTTCACATCTGCACAAGTCCATGCCAACACACATACACTTGTCCATGCCAACACACATACACTTGTCCATGCCAACACATACATTTGTCCATGCCAACACACATACACTTGTCCATGCCAACACACACATACACTTGTCCATGCCAACACACATACACTTGTCCATGCCAACACACATACACTTGTCCATGCCAACACACACTATGCCAACACACATACATGTCCATGCCAACACACATACATTTGTCCAACACATACACTTGTCCATGCCAACACACATACATTTGTCCATGCCAACACACATACACTTGTCCATGCCAACACATACACTTGTCCATGCCAACACACATTTGTCCATGCCAACACACATACACTTGTCACATGCCAACACACATACACTTGTCCATGCCAACACATACACTTGTCCATGCACTTGTCCATGCCAACACACATACACTTGTCCATGCCAACACACACATACACTTGTCCATGCCAACACACATACACTTGTCCATGCCAACACACATACACTTGTCCATGCCAACACACATACACTTGTCCATGCCAACACACATACACTTGTCCATGCCAACACACACATACACTTGTCCATGCCAACACACATACACTTGTCCATGCCAACACACATACACTTGTCCATGCCAACACACATACACTTGTCCATGCCAACACACATACTTTTGTCCATGCCAACACACATACACTTGTCCATGCCAACACACATATAAACTAATGCACGTAGTCCCCAGTTTTATCTTATCTGACAGTCAAGATGAATGGAGATGCTGAGTCTTAAACCTTTATGTATAAAGACCAAACATCTGTATGTACTCACAACACTTTATGATGATATCTTACATATAGAAAATGATTATACAGTACTTGTATAATATATGAGAGTATAACATTATGGTTTAACTCAGCACACACCTTCATAAATACAAAAAATCATTATTACAGATTAAGTAACAACCAGATACAAATGATGGAGACCAACATAAACTCCTACTTTATGGATGACAACCACACAGAGAGAGGCACAGCTAAACACACAATATACTGTACAGTGCAGGTGACAGTGAACCCTAAACACAACAAACTTTGCTCTCAATATTACAGGAGTTAGGGCTACTAGTGTAACAACAGGAGGAAACGTCGGTGTGATTATCATTTCCTTCCTAAGCAACGGGTTATATGAGGGACAGACCCCCATGAAGGTGCACAGAGGAATAACTTGGAGGATCCGTGTACAGGGTGTTAAGGTGTATCAGAGACGAGTAATGTAACACAGGAAGAATATTTTGGTTTAATTAAGGGTAAGATAAGGACAACATCAAAGCACTGACCACACAAACATAGTAAGTACAGTAATGAGACACAACGTGAGGCTGAACGTGCAAGAGGACAGGTCGATGTTAAGGCACATAGCTCTAATTGTCAGGGAAGGTTAGACAGAGAACGATAAACATGGTTAGGTTAGGCTAGGCTGGGTTATGGTTTTGTCTATATGGGAAATTCCTACTTGTTTATAGTATATAATTTAGGTTTTTCCAATAAAGTCAGAAAGAGATTAAATGTTTGGCCTATGGTATATAAACAAACAAGTTACTGTCACTTCTTAATCAGCTAAATCATTATTCATCCTACACGTGTGACTGTCTACATTAGGTACACACACACACACACACCCGCTCACGATTCAATCATTCTATCGTCTTCCTCTGAACCTGAATCCACCTCTGCCTCTGCCAAAGTTTCCCCGTCTGTTAAAGTTGGCATTATAGAACCTGCCGCGTCCTCTGTCCCCGTCAAAGTACCTTCCTCTGCCACGTCCTCTGTAGCGACCATCTGAGCCGCCGCCGCCCCAGTGCCCGTGTTCCCTGATTCTGTCGCGGTCGTCCCTGTAGCCGTAACATTCATTATCTCTCTTCGTGTTATCTTTGTATCTGTCATGCCTTCTCTCTCTTTCTCTACTGTCTCTCATAAAATTGTCTCTGTATCTCTCATGTTCTCTGTATCTCTCTTGATCTCTGTGTCTCTCTTGGTCTCTGTATCGGTCTTGTCCTCCTCTATCTCTCTGGAAGTCTCTGCTGTACCTCTCCTGACTCTTATCTCTTTCTCTGCTCTTAAACCTGTACTCCTCGTCCTGGAGTCCGGACTGTTCGTACTTGTCGTAGCCCGGGTCGTGCTTCTCCTCCTTCACTGCCGGCATCCCCTCGTCGGCCTTCTCCCTGTTCTTTGTCCTGCTGCGCTCTTCTTCTCTGGCCGAATCGTCGCTGCTGCTCTGCGAATCCGATTCTTCTTTCGCCTTCTTCCTCTTCTTTTTCTTCTTCTTCTTTTTCTTTTTCTTCTTTTTCTTCTCCTCGTCGTCGGAATCTTCGGACGACGACGGACTGTCCGAAGACGACGAAGACACTTTCCTCTTCTTCTTCTTTTTCTTCTTTTCTTTCTTTACCTTCACTTTCTCTAGTTTTTCTTTCTTAATTGTTTTTTCTAAAAGGAAAAATTAGTCAAGATTAAAAAACAAATGAATAGAGATGTTGTTAGTACAGTACAGACTCCCACTTGTTACTCCACTACATCATCTTCCCAACAAGCTGTATAACTGCTATCATCGTCTTCACCTGATTTACCAACACAGTGCCATCATTGTCTAAAGTCAACTGGCATTTGGTGTCATGAATTTAAAGCTGTGCATCAAAACTCAAAATAATAATGGGAAGATGATGATTGGTAAATACTCTTTGAGCAGTGGTCTCAACCTGTAGTTCCTTGGTGCCCACAGAACCATATTATGGAGCCCACGAGGGTTTATTAGAAAACTGTGCATTATTTGGGATCTTTGTAAGGGTGAAATTAATGAAAATACACACACGTCCTGTCCAAGAGTAAATGTAAAAAGTATGTAACTGATAACAGTTAGACGTGTAAAGCTGTTAATAACTGTAGATCCAAACTTTTGGTTCCAACCAATATATTTACAATGATAAATGTAGCCCAGAGCCTACAACTGGTGGAACCTCACATCAAGTTATTGTTAACATCTTGGAATGATTTAGAATTATTTATGCCTCACTCACCACCACCAGGGCTGAGCAGTTGCCAGTTACCTGACTTCATGGACAAAGTTTTTATTACTTCTAAATTTTATATCCTCAATTTCATGTTTTCTTTTGCATTTATGGGGTGGCTACCTGTTATAGACTTAACCCCGGGAGTGCAATGATATAATCACATTGAGCAGACTACGACGACTTAAGGGTAGCGTCCGGCTGAAGCACGAAATTCGTTAATAATTGATCAATCAATATCAATTTCCTGTCAGCAATTAAGGACACCAGATACATTGTTGCTATACCCCTGTTGCTCTGCTGTTCTTATACAAGGTTTTTACGGCCTTCCTCCCACCCCACAATGCTCTTCTGTTCACCCTATCATTTGCCTTTTCCAAATACACTATAAATCATTAAAACCATCTGTAAGTAATAAAAACCAACAAAACTAATTAAAACCAATAAAAATGGCTGTGATAAGAACAAATCTATTTTTGTTTGGTTTAAATTGGCCAACCCTGAGTTAAGCCATTAAAGATGTGAATATTTCCATCATATAAGTGATTCAGTTTAGTGTAGTTTACCTTCTCTGACTCGTAGATCCTCCTCACAGTTGTCAGGTGTTAGTGAGCGAGGCTGTGGAGCGCACCCCTCCATGGCCAGCTTCTGCTGCTCGGGCATCATGTCCTCCGTCATCTTGGGCACCTTGTACTCCTCCACGTGGTCCACCCTGATGGTGCGGCTCGCTAGCTATCAAAGAGAGAGTTGTTGTGGTCGTTTATAGAGATATGATGAGAGGTTATGGACCACCTGATGATTAGCTCCCCACTAAGACAAGTGACAGTATGGCTTCACATGTGGTTATTATGCCATCATACTTATTTCAAAATTGCTAAACTATCTTTATTTTGTGGTGTTTTTTATGTTCTGATGTTTGTCTAGTAGTAGCTTACCTTGATGCCATTTAAGTTATCCACGGCCAGGATTGTGGACCTCTGATCTTCATAACACAAAAAAGCAAATCCTTTGCTCTTTCCCGTCTTTTTGTCCCGCACCAGGTTGATGTTGACCACCTGTTGACGGCAAGACAACTTCACCCACTGTATTTCTCACATCATGTACTGCATTAGACTTACTGTATACAGTATCTGGTGTTTAAATGGCATCTCAGAAAAATGCATGTGCACCAATTTACAAATTTCATGAATACAGTACTTGTATTACAACAGCAACAGTGTCCTCTCTTGTGGGAGACCTCATACAAGTGAGGACAGTGTTGGTGCTGTAGAACAACAGTACATCTTTCTGAGACACTGTGTACAGTACAGTATGTGATCAACCTAACTTACATCTGTCAGTGAGAGAGAGACTGGGTGATCTCCTGTACCATAGTTATGGTATATATCACACAATACTGTACAGGCAATTACAAGTTCAATGAAATCTCAGATTATTTACCTCGCAGCCTAATATATGACTCATAATAGACGGACACTGTCACACTATGTACAGTATAACGTGTGTTGGGAGAAGAGGCTGATGGTAAGGTCAAAAGTTAACATTACTGTAATGTATTAAGGTAAATGTGAGGAGCATCACAGTGTAGCAGGGAGGGAGTTGTTGTCATTACTTATCCTTGATGTGTCTTCCTCTCCATGTACTTACACAATTCTTTAGACTGATTGTGTTCAAGGCCTGGAAATAATTTATGGTAAAAAGCATCATAAGGAATGTAGCATTTAATTTTTATGTATTTTGACAGAAAAAATGCAGTTCGCATAATGTTTAATTATCAATTTGAACACATTTCTGTCACAGTCACATGTGTCAAGAGATGGTAATTTGCAGCAGCAGTCACTGTCTAGTAACTCTGTACTGCACACCAAATGGTACACACTCCCACAGCCAAGCAAATATCTCAAGTAAGTTATTGATGCCACAGTAATAGCTGTAGTGTATTTAAGTTGTATGTCAGACTCCATAATGCACCAATGTTTACTGTTTAAAGTTACCTGAGCTGAGGAGGTTAATGTTCTACTGTATGATACTGTACTGTACTGTATGGTACTGTACTGTATGGTATTGTACTGTACCTCATTTGACATATACGTTGCTAACAATTATAGGACAATTTACCATTACACGTTGTCCAGTTGTATACAAAGTGTGAGTGTACAGTAGGTGAATAAGAAGCATAAATAGTGTTAAAAGTGTGTAATGTAAAGTAAAAAATAGCCATAAGAAGTAATAAAAGTGGCCTACAAGTGTTCAGTATCTACCACACCAAAACACATGTCACTTTTCACTCAGCTGAGCACTAATGCCATTGGTGTGTGTAACATAACCACAAACGTCATTACAATGAGCTAGTGAACCTAATAAGTAAATAAAATACTGTAAACTGTACAGTTGTATAAACATATAATATATGAGTCTTGGGATAAAGTATATTGTGTGTAGGAGAATATCAAGTCTAGAAATAACTATAACACATGAGCGCTTCTTAGCTGTGACAAGGCTGTGCACGTGCCATTGTTACATAACAAACCATTAAAGATATAGAAGGTTAGGGACCGACATCCAGGTCGTAAGTCGAAATGGTCGAAAGTCGGAAATGCTTAAATAACACATAGAAAATCGAAAATGGGTGTCTCTTTTTCTTGTCAGCACCTCAAAACACTCACTTTTAAGCTTGCCAGCCATTTTAAAGTGAATTACAGATGAAAATTTTGTCTGTGTACTGACTTTGGGACTCAATAATACATAATTTGACCACATTTTGGTACGACTGAGGCAGGTCGTAAGTGCGGGTGGACGTAAGTCGAGTCGGTCGTAAGTCGGGGAGTACCTGTACAGTGTGTAATACAGTATCACCATAACTCTCACATACTAATTTACATTCATTTGGTACCTGGTTAATAAAATATTTTTGTAAAATAATAAATTTTACTGAAAAAAATCCCACACCCAATGTCAGATGAGTCATTGTGTTGTGTTGTATTAGTTTACAAAGTTGAGCAGCTGATGGATGACCTCCAGCAGTGTGTACCTCTCTCACTGCTCAAGATGGTTGCCACAACTGTCTTCAGTTAATAATATTGTAATGTATTTATATATTAATCAGTTATCTAAGTGTAACAAGGAACCATATGGAGCCATCATGTAGGTAACAAATAATGTTGTTAGGAATGTATCTCCATATCAAATAGTATACAGTACAGTAGAGTACATATATTATAATAAACTCCAGTGTAAAAGCTGATTTACTGGCTATGTTGGAATGCATATCCAATACTGTAGTGTAACCCTAATTACTGTACAGTACAGTAATTCTTTGGGGGAAAAATTACTCATTATAAAATGTTTTATTATAAGTTCTCTGGAACACATCCAGAGGCGTTACCAATCACCGGGCCACAAAACATTGGCCATCAAGCCTGGAAAATTATTAGAAAAAAATCTTCCAGATTAGTAATTAAATCAGCTTAGCCTTTCCTGCAACTCTGTCATGGATCCTGAAATGTGTGTGTGAGTGTGTGTGCATATGCTGATAACCACATAGGAAACAAGAAAACATGAAGTTCCCAAGAGCTTTCGTGTAATTCACATCTTCAAGTTTGTGTGTGTGCAAACAAAATTCCTTCACAAATGCATATTACTAATTCCCCAACTTCAGTAGGTACAACATCATCACTCCAGCCTGGACACCAGTTCAAAAACAATGAAAAAAGAACCAAGTCATTTATATCACCAGAGGGACACACTGAGCCTTGTACTGTACAGTGTTTATCTGCCATCAGTGTAACACCTCCTGGCCCACCAGTATGATGACCACTCATAAAAAATCTCACTCCAGTTTTCTGAACAATTCCACCAACTCCGAGTCCTTGAAGAAATTCCTCAATTTAAGAAAAAAAAAATCAAAGCACTTCACCACTGCATCCAAGCATGACATGTGAGCTCCCTAAGTCACGTCACTCATAGAATCTAAAATCATAAATGACAAAGCTTTGATTTTTTTTTTAATTTCTATGCCATAACAAGAACATAAATTATATTTGTGGCAAATTAAAAGTCATTCCAGTGATCATATGACACATACATGACTCCCTTGTGCACAAAAAGATTGACCCTGAAATCTAATTTTCTACTTGAGCCGAGAGCTTTCACAACAGAGGCACCGAGCAGTGTTGTGTGTAGTGATTATATAATATGGCCCTGACAGGTCTCTGGCTCCCACTGGGTCAAGTACAACTTATGGGGAGACTAAAACAACGTCTCAGTCTTACCATAGTGTGGGCAGCACACCAAAAGAACTGTGGATAAAAACAGGAAAAAATCATTTGATTATCTGTAGATTCCATTAACATAATTTCTTTGAAACAATTTAGTGGAGACAGACATCTCTATGGTGTAGTAACTAACAACAGCAACCTTCACTCTGCTCACCTTCCTCTAGTCACATTAATCTCTACTAAAAACCATCAGACACAATTTCTCTTATAAGTAACAGTACTAAATCTTGCCAGGATATAATCATAAGAAAAAGAAGTGTTTTTCTTATTGTTTCCTCCCGGCCGGCCAATACTCACCTCTTGCTACACCCTCACCACCCTTACAAGGCTCCCACATTTGGCTGAAGTTTTCCAACCTTCCTTCACAATATCCAGTGTAGATCAACACATATTATCGTTGGTCTCGATCTCCCATGTGACTCCATCCTCCAAGTGCACAGTTCAGTATCCTCCCTCTCCTCACTCCACCGACGGTTCAACGGTCAATACTCCGATGAAATTCAAATCATCATACCACACATCTCTGAATGAGGTTGTTACTCCACTACTGTCACCAATACCCTGTCAATACATCAAACATTAGAACAACTACAGCTCTACCTAGCCCCCGGCCCTCTGTGTTGCTCCTCATAACAAAAACCCACCTCACAACACACCTCACATCCACATATTAAAATTGTTCTCTTCTTCAGGTAAAACTACTGTACACTCTCAACTCAAGGAATAGTGTTGGCAGGAATACAGTCCAACTCGGCCCATTGCCAACTCGGACCATCTCGGAAAAACAACTCGGACTAAAAAGTAAAAGTAAATGTTTACACATTTATTTTTGCATGAATGATAAAAGGCAGCATAGACGTACAAAGATTACTGATAAACAGCCACAAGATCTGAGGTTGAAGAGTTCCACAACAATGTACTAGATATGAGGTTGACAAGTTCCATAATAATTTAAATACAGTGATCCCTCAGTTAACGAATTACCTTCCATAAGAATATTCACTTCGGTTAACGAATTCCTTACGAATTTTTCCCAACATGTTTTCGCCTGCTCACCAGCTGTAGTATTAGTCCGCCAATACAGTAATCGGTTTTAGGGCTTAAATTCGTTACCATTTGAGTAAATATCAAGAAGGTTGTACTATTCAATAATTTTCCAAGTCTTATATTAAATTTTTTAGTCATTTTAACAATTATTTAACATAATTGAAGTACAGGGAACTAGTTTTTAGCGCGCCAAACAGCCACTTGACTCACCCAGAATGGCGTCAGTTTGTGTCTGCTCAGTGGAGGAAGCTTCTTGCTTGAGACACTCTTGAACATAAACTATTTTTACCTTTTTACAGTACAATTATTGGTCATTCTGAAGTTTATTTTACATATTGACTATATAATGCAGTGCAGTGTTGATTTAAAGAAAATAATCTTGAATTACACCAAGTGAACGTAAAATTTTATGAGTGAAATGGTGCCATGGGGTGACTTCTCTTCCACCCCCACTGCCTTCTCTTCTCCCTTCTCCTCCACCCCCACTTCTAATTCCCATCATCATCATCATCAACCAGGAACCTTCTACATACACACCTCAAAGTAAGTGTACTTTACTGCATTTATTTTTAGTTTGTATGTAATTTTCAGTGAGCTGGAACCAAAATCCCATTGAAACAATGGTTTCGGTTAATGACGACCATCTGGAACGAATCGTGTTCGTTAACTGAGGGACCACTGTGATGAGTTACTTAATGCACAAAGGCAGAACATATCATACAGAAAACTCAGATTAAACAACCATGACCCCAAATGGATAAATAATTATTTGAAGAATATTATTGGCCAAAGGAAGGCTATAGGTAGGAGAATAAATCGTGGTGAAGTTTACCTCCGAGATTATTATAAGGTATTGGCCGGTAGGGTTAACACCGAGATAATAAAATCAAAGAGGAATAATTAACTGAAGGTAGCAAGGGAGACAAAGTCAAACCCCCCAAGGGATTCTTTCAAATGTATCAAACTAAAACACTAGACAAGATTGGACCAGATACTGTAACGGCGAGCTAACTGATGACGACGGAGAAATGAGCAATAATCTGAACAGGTATTTTTCAACAGTTTTCACCACCGAAAATTTAAACATGATACCCGAGGCACCGACTCTATACAGAGATAGTGAAGAAACTAGATTAAGTGAGATAGTAGTGACTAGTAATGACTTAAGTAAGCAAATAGACAAACTAAAGCCTAATAAGTCACCTGGTCCCGATGAGATATTTGCCAGAGTATTAAAGGAATGTAAGGAAGAGCTTAGTATACCCTTAGCAAAGTTGTCATTAAAAACGGGCATAGTGCCAGAATCCTCAGTTTTCACTTATTCACACTTTGTATTTCAGTGAACCAAAAGAAACATAAAACATATCTCAAACTCATTCCTGTTTGAGGTGTGCAAGGTGGGCCGAGTTAGTAATGTGTGGGCCGAGTTGGTTATTTAAGATGGGCCCAGTTGGAGGTAGACCTGTTGGCAGCTTCACTACCGTACAGTACTCTAAGTGACCACCTCCCTTTACTGCCTAAAAACATAAGATACAGTACAGTATATTGATCACAACCAAAATACATGAGTCATACTGTTTGTCATGTGGTACAATACCGTTTCTTATCATCACTTATTCTCACTGTCAGTAGGGGGGAGAAAAATAAGAATGATCTGTAATGGTGAGCCAAAGTTGATAGTGTTTAGGTCATAACATCACTGAACACCAGACAAGGTTATACGCTAGGTACTGTACTGTGATGTGATGTATCATGGGTAAGACCTCTCATCTCTTTGTTAATATGTAAGGAAAGGGAGGGTGACAGCTATCCTCCCTTAGTACTCATAAAGAGAGGATGAGTTATCCCCCCCTCAGTAGTCATAAAGGGAGGTGAGAGCTATCCTCCCTCAGTAGTCATAAAGGGAGGATGAGTTATCCCTCCTCAGGACTCGTAAAGGGAGGTGAGAGCTATTCTCCCTCAGTAGTCATACCTCACCATACTGAGAGAAGACACATATAATATCTCCCTCAGTTAGTTCATAGTTGAGTCCCCCAAGGAAGACCCAGGCACTGTCACGGTACTGCTGATGCCATGAGCTCTTGAGGCTCACCCCAAGCTCTAGTTCTCTCTGGTTCAGTTTCTGGATGTTCTTCACATTCCTGTAACACAAACCTTTAAGTAATCAATATCTGTTATTATTATTGTCATGTTAGTACAGCATTGACCTTAGTAGCTAGACATTCTTATGCTGAAATTAGTGTTGTGGTGTGGTGTGATGTGCTGTGCTGTGGTGTGCTGTGCTGTGGTGTGATTTGGTGTGATGTGTGTGCTGTGCTGTGATGTGATGTGTGTGGTGTGCCGTGCTGAGATTGTGCCATACTCCAAATATTCTGGGTATGTGCAGTTCAATCAACACATCACTGAAAGCTTAAGGTGTGCTAAGATTAACCCTCGAAATAAAAGGTTAGGTTAGGTTAAGTCAGATAGGGTTAGATTAAGTTGGGTCAGGTCAGATTAAGTTAGGTTAGCCTTTGAAAAAACTGCACAACCCCAAGAAAAAATTGTCAGCAAGGTAGACTCTCAGCACATGACAACAGTAATGGCCGACCAAACTGAATTATTGGGTAAAATTAGTCATCTTCTGCCACTTTAAACTCCTATAATGCCAGTGTGTTTATCTGTGTCATGACCCCATTACCATAGTGTCCACCAAGGCCTCATAACAAACACACCATGATACTTCCACAATTTCTCCGTCTCAGAACAGCGACTCGTACATTTCAGGTAAGGAGAAAATTCACATTCTTGTCGTGTTTGGTGAAAAATTTCCTCAGAGTGAAGTAAGAACGAGGCACAAACATTAACATTAACACTAACCTAACCTAACCTAACCTAACCTAACCTAACCTAACCTAACCTAACCTAACCTAACCTAACCTAACCTAACCTAACCCAACCTTCATGACAGGATAAAAACACTCAGTAAATACCAGAGTTATGAAGTATATTATTATATGATTTATAAAATGAACCTAACATACCTTAAACTTGAGCTTCACCCAACCATTTTATTAATTGGTTAGGTTAGTAAAAATAAAACCCAAAACAGTCATACTATATCTAGATTATGTGATGTTTAATAGTGAAGTCAATCAAAGGTAACCTAACATTCACCTACTAAAATAAGTAAAATATAACCAGATTCTTAAAATACCACTAAAAAAACCCAGCCACAATTAACATAAACCCGAATACACATGAAACTATGAATGAAGAATTATGTCTAGGGATGGGATAAGACGCCGCCGCCATTACCACCTCTAAACACCCTCCTCTCCCACCTCACCGCCATTACCAGCCAATAACTCACGTCAGGGGATTCATCTTGTGTTGCCCTTAATACTGTGCAGGTAAAAGTCTCCACAGTTTAGGCTGACAAGAGGAGGAGACTCATGATGGACGGCCTCAAGTTGTTGTTGTTTGGCTCACTCTCCTCTGAACCCTTTAACTGAACCCACTGAACCCTTAACTGAACCCTTAACTGAACCCACCGAACCCACTAGCTGAATAATGGCATCCTGAACCCCTTTTCCTCCTAACTAATTGAGCCACATATATATTTTACAGTAATTATTCACTATTTAATTAATCAGAACAATTCTTTCCCCTAAACAAGAAGGGATCCTGTGATTTAACTTGAGTCCAGAGATGAGTCATATATCTTTCCATAGTACCTTTATTATTCGTATAATATTATATCTGTGTATATTATTAGGTAATTTAGATATCATAGAGTATTATAATTAACAGTTGGAGTGCTTGAGTGACCCGCCGTCTAGGGTAAGGGTTCGGGGTTCAGGGTTCGGGGTTTGGGGTTCAGTGTTGAGAAGGTCGTTTACAACACAAGTACAATATAACTTAACAAGACTAAAAAAATCAGCATTTTCATCTTTTTTACATAAACCACAAGAAATATCTATATCATTAGGCTAATAACTCAATCATTAAAAACATATATACATTTAATAACTATATTTATGTATCTAGAAGCTTTTTATATCAGTATATTTCTTATTTAGGCAGAAAATAATTTTGCTTGTCATGCTAACAATTGATTAAAGTCATTCATATTAAACCTCAGGAGGGAAATATTTTATAGTAATTAGATTAATTTAATAACTAAAAGTAATATATAATCATCTGTAGATAAATAAGACAACCATTATGTGTTGGAAGGTTATATACAAGAACAATTACCTGTAAGATGATATATAGTTTTTATTATGTGATAATTCTCTATTTCTTCACAATATATGAATAAATATAATAAATATGGTAAAGATTTTATTTTGAACTGAGAAAAAAAAACTAATGGGAAATTGTTGTAGAAATTGTTAGTCAAATAATTTTAGGATTTTCGAAATTTTTTATAAATAGAAGAAATAAATTATAGATAACTGTTATTTAAGGGATTAAATATATTAATAATTTTATTTTATTTTACTGATTTATAGGAGGAAAAAACAATAATGACCAAATTTACTTCAGGGTTACGTTATAGAATTAATAATAACCATTAAATAAAACTAACTTTATATTAACCATATCAGATAAATAAATATAAAATCACGTAAAATAATATAGTATAATAAATAAAAAGATTATTAAATATCTAAGAGAATTAAATAAAGAGTTGTAGAAGAATGTAAGTAAGTTGAGGTTGAAACAAGTGAAGGGTTGAGAGACAGACCAGGGGAGAGACTCAGGACAACACGTCAAGATGCTCATCAAAGTTAAGGTAATATTCCTCCTCCTTCAGTCATGGTGAGAGTACCTTATAACGTGTCTTAAACTGATGATAATTTGAGGTTTTATTATTATATCTGGGGCTAGGAAGGAGGACCACTGGGGGCTAGGCAGGAGGACCACTGGGGGCTAGGTAGGGAGACCACTGGGGGGCTAGGCAGGAGGACCACTGGGGGCTAGGTAGGTGGACCACTGGGGGCCAGGCAGAGGACCACTGGGGCTAGGGTAGAAGATCACTGGGGCTAGGTAGAGGACCACTAAAGGCCAGGCAGGAGGACCACTGGGGGCTAGGCAGGAGGACCACTGGGGGCTAGGGAGGAGGACCACTGGGGCTAGGCAGGAGGACCACTGGGGCTAGGCAGGAAGACCACTGGGGCTAGGCAGGAGGACCACTGGGGCCAGGTAGGAAGCTACTGGGCTAGGTAGGGAGACCACTGGGGCTAGGCAGGAGGACCACTGGGGGCCAGGCAGGAGGACCACTGGGGGCTAGGTAGGGAGACCCCACTGGGGCTAGGCAGGAGTGACCACTGGGGTTGTAGGAGACCACCGGGGCTGTGTAGGAGGACCACTGGGGCTAGGTAGGAGGACCACTGGGGCTAGGTAGAGGACCACTGGGGCTAGGGCAGGAAGACCACTGGGGCTAGGTAGGAGGACCACTGGGGCTAGGTAGGAGGACCACTGGGGGCTAGGTAGGAGGACCACTGGGGCTAGGTAGAAGACCACTGGGGGCTAGGTAGAGACACTGGGGCTAGGCAGAAGGCTGGGGGCTAGGTAGGAGGACCACTGGGGCTAGGTAGAAGGCCACTGGGGCCAGGGGTAGGACCACTGGGGCTAGTAGGAAGGCCACTGGGGCTAGGTAGAGGACCACTGGGGCTAGGCAGGAGGACCACTGGGGGCGAAGCAGGAGGACCACTGGGGGCTAGGTAGAAGACTACTGGGGGCTGTGGTAGGAGGACCACTGGGGCTAGGTAGAGGACCATTGGGGGCTAGGTAGGAGGACCACTGCCAGGGGCAGGAGGACCACTGGGGCCAGGGGCAGGAGGACCTGGGGGCTAGGCAGAAGACCACTGGGGCTAGGCAGGAGGACCACTGGGGCTAGCAGGAGGACCACTGGGGGCTAGGCAGGAGGACCACTGGGGGCTAGGCAGGAAGACCACTGGGGGCTAGGCAGGAAGACCACTGGGGGCTAGGCAGGAGGACCACTGGGGGCTAGGGAGGAGGACCACTGGGGGCTAGGCAGGAAGACCACTGGGACATTTTATTCCTTACTGTTGGGAAGGTCTACTATGGTCTTAAAAAACCTTAAATAATATGCTGTTAATTATATAAGATTAACCTACGAGCTAAACTTATTGGAAATGAATATAAAAACGTCTGATTTTATTTTGTTATATTATAGTGGACATTGTTGTAGTTTGTGGAAATATGTTTATAAATGGGTTATATTTTCACTAATGCGACGATTTTTGGATATTATAAATGTTTTACCAATGTTATGAGTTTTGAATGGATTTTATATTAATTTTAGCCGGAAATCAATAGTTTTTGACCCCCCCCCACCCCCCCTCACCCCCCCACCAGTCTTAACAAAAATGTGTTTTTTCTCGACTAAATCACGAATAAATTAATAACAAACCCCACAAAACCAAACCTAACCTAACCTAACCAAACACTATTTTTCTGATGAAACTCTGCAATTGACGTAAAATAATCTCTTTATCACAATGTCGGCACAGCTCTTTCCACCTGTTCAGCCATATCTGGTTAATCTGGTACTGAAAAATCAATTCTCCGCTCCTGATGCACCCACGCATTGTTCATTGACTAAGACAAAAAAAACTCTTCCCCAATTATAAGTCTCCTATCGCTATAGCCAATAAGAAACTCCCCACCCCACCCCCTGCACATAAGGAGAAAATAAGGAGTCTGCAATAGGCCGGTTGGCCTGTGCATGGCAGCTCCTGTCGAGAGTTACTACCACTCTCTATTATCCATGAATCTGTCCAGCCTCCTTTTAAAACTTTCCAGCGTTCCAGCACTTACTACAAAGTTGCTAAGCTTTTTCCACTCGTCCACCACCCTATTTGTGAACCAGTTCCTTCCTATCTCCCTCGTAAACCTAAACTTATCCAACTTCAATCCGTTGCTCCGAGTCCTATCCTGCTCGGATATTATAAGAACTTTATCTATATCTCCTTTATTGATTCCTTTCACCCACTTAAATACTTCTATCACATCTCCCCGCACTCTTCGTCTTTCTAGGGAATGCAAGTTTAGATTCTTTAACCTATCTTGATATGGAAGGTTTCAAAGTCCAGGAAAATTTTTCGTCATTCTTCGCTGCACCGATTCCAGTGAATTGATATCCATTCTATAATAAGGGCACCAGAACTGAACAGCATAATCGAGGTGCAGCCTGACTAGCACAAGATATAGTTGCAATATGACCTCTGCACTCTTATTACTTACTCTTCTAGATATAAAACCTAATACTCTGTTTGCCTTATTTCGAACATTAACGCACTGTTTTCTAGGCCGTAGGTCTGGGCTTACAAGTACCCCTAAGTCTGTTTCACATGTTGACTTCTCTAGGTTGATGTTGTTAAGGCTGTATACATTGTCAGTATTTGTTCTTCCAATATTAAGTACGCTGCACTTGCTGGTGTTGAATTTCATTTGCCATTTTTCTGACCACTCCTGCAGTTTATTTAAATCCTCCTGTAGTGCATTTGCATCCTGCCCTGAATTAATTTGCCGCCCTATTTTGGTGTCATCCGCAAACTTGCTTTTATGTCACTGCTGATCCCAGTATCTAGATCGTTTATGTAGATTATGAACAAGAGTGGGCCCAGTACTGACCCCTGGGGAACCCCACTGGTTACACGGCCCCACTCAGATTTAACACCATCTACGCTGACCCTCTGTGTGCTATCGGTGAGCCATGATTTTATCCAATTTAAAACTTTCCCCTCGATACCATGAGCCTTGACTTTTCTCAGAAGCCTCTGATGCGGTATCTCTGTCAAATGCTTTGCTAAAGTCTAAGTAAATAAGTAACATCGTAATTTTCGTCATTATTTACTACCTCGAAGACTTTCCCAAAAAAGTCAGCAGATTTGTTAGACAAGATTTTCCCTTTGTAAACCCATGTTGAGAGTCGTAGATTAATTTGATTTTCTCTAAATGCGATCGGATGCTATTTGCTATAAGTGATTCAAGAAATTTCCCCACTTGTGACTGACCAAATCTAATATTATTGAAAAATTAATATCTCGGTTATCCTTAATTTCCAGCATAAATATCACAGAAGAAAGATCTTAGAATAAAAGATGTAACTATATTGTTAAAGGTTTATATTTAGGATATAACCACAAATGTATCATCTCGCATATCTTTTGTTTTTCAGACCCTGACTGGCAAGGAGGTGAGTTGACTTCAGTTCTTGTTATATTGTGAATGTGTATTGGTAATTATATACTTAACAATTATCTTCATTCACTAGTAGTATCATGTATCATAATCAACACCATGTATCATCATCAACAATAATGTTTTAGCCATCACTGTGAGGGTCAGCTAAGTGGCAGCTCTCCATACTGCACAATCTCTCTTGTCAGGTTCCCAACTCTGCCATTTCCTACAACCTTTCTCCATATCATTCTTGGCCTGCCCCTGGCTCTCCTCCCCTCAACACACATGCACCTCTTGACCCAGTTAGTCTCCACAATTCTCTTTACATGATCAGATCATCTCAGTCTATCTATACAGTACTCAAAACTTTACCAGTATTGTACACAGGACTCTCAATACTGTACTGTACTCAGGGATTCCTATCATTCTGTATCACCTAACACATGCACCTCACCAGTTCTTTCAAACCTGTGGATGTCATCCTCTTTAGCTGCCCATGTTACACTGTCAGACACCACCACACTTCAGATGTCAGTTTCATACGTACTGTACAGTACAGTACAGTACATCTTTCCTCTCACGCGAAGGGATGGTCCTCTTGCCGTCAATAAAGGCAGCAGTGCCCAAAACTTCCTCTGGCCATTTCTGTTTCTTAGCTACATGTCAGAGAGTAGTCCAGTAGTTCCCAGACTCACGTCCATCTATAGTAATAATCAAGTCGTTATTAAGAAAAGTAAAACCTTAATTTTTGTTGGTTAATGTTTTCATGAGGTACAGCTGTTCTTGTCCACACAACAAAGAAATATTTAAACACATATTCAGATCACCTGAAGATTGGTCCCCCAGCTTATTTCTCCTGACGGTGCTTCCTGAAGGAGGGGTTAGGTTAGCATTAAAAATACTGTATACGTATAAAATCTCTGGCCTTGGTATATTGTCAGTTTGTCTCACAACCTTACTCCCCTGCCATGTGTGTGAGGTGGAAGAGGTGCACAAAGCCAGATAAGAACAAGTAGACCTATACTTTACCTCACTACTTAACATTTGTTTGCTTTTCTAAGTGTTTGGTTCATCACTTACAGACATCTGTCCTCACTTAATTGCACTTCCATACACACACACACTGCCTCTCCACCGTGAATAGCATACTACTGTCTTACCTAGGCTGAGATAATTAATTTATTTAACCATGTGGCTGACCTCTGTTCCTCCTGCTGTCTTCACCAAGCCCTCTTCACTATCTCAGGAGGTGTTCATCCACTAACAATACATTACAGTAGCTCAGTACTGTAGCTCAGTACTGTAGCTCAGTACTGTAGCTCCGTACAGTAGCTCACTCACTACCACCTTACACTCACTACCACCTTACACTCCCTACCACCTTACACTCACTACCACCTTACACTCACTACCACCTTACACTCACTACCACCTTACACTCACTACCTTCTCTTCCCCAAGATTGAGATCGACATTGAGCCAACAGACAAGGTTGAGAGAATCAAGGAGAGAGTAGAAGAGAAGGAAGGGATTCCTCCTCCCCAACAGCGACTTATCTTCTCCGGGAAGCAAATGTAAGTTTGGCTTGGGTTAGGTTAGGTTAGGTTATGATAGATAGTGTGATCGGTAGACATTAATTCAGTAAAATTAACACAGTACTGTACTGTACAGTACAGTCGAGTACAATACAGTACAGTATATCAACAATGTACAGTATAGTATATCAACAAAACAATGTATAGTACAATACAGTACAGTACAGTACAGTACAGGACAGTACAGTACAGTACAGGACAGTACAGGACAGTACAGTACAGTACAGTACAGTACAGTAGAAGTCCAAAAATCCGGACTGCTTAGGGATTGGGTCGGTCCGTATTCTCAAGCAGTACTTTTAAAATTCAAATTTAAGGAGGAATAAAGAAGAGATGAACAGGTACATTTTGATGGTTTATTCATTAGCAAATATAGCGTGCTTCATTTACCAAAACGAGCAGTTTTAATGAAAAAGCTGTGAATTCTAGAATTTTATTCTTTGCCTTTTTTATATCATAAATTGTAGACTTTCCGATGTCGTATGTGTCCATTAGAACAGTATTGCTCACACCACGTTCTATTTTAATTATTTCAAGTTTGTCACTCAATTTCAACGTGTTCTTCTTTCTCTTCACACAACAAAGTTTATCTACTTTAGGAGCCATTATTATGGGCTCTGTAAATGGAAAGAATAGGACTCAAAATTACATACGTTGTCACAGTTTGATTGCTCGTTTTAAAGTGGCGACCACGTGGTCTCTTTTTTGTCGCTGTGCAGCTGTGGCGCTTACGCATGCACACTTACACACAAAAGCCAGCTAAATTAAAAAAAAAAGTTTGAGTTTTCGAAAAGTCCGGATTCTCGGGTGGTCCGGATTTCTGGCATCTGGATTTTTGGACAAATTTATTAAAAATGTGACAGTCTACCCTCAAGTCGGTGCTTTATTAATCAAAGCACGGACTTGGGGGTAGACTCAACATTTTTAATACATTTGTTTCAGATTATTTGTGAGAGGATTTTCCTATTAGTATTTATTTGTATGTGTTTTGTGTGTGTGTGTGTCTACACACTCACACATATTTACAATACAGGTCAAGGAAATTACTGTCTCTAGAACAAATGGTTCCCTGTCCCAGCCGCAAAAATGACGGCAACTTTAAAACTACCCTTAGACATTCTTGGGTACATCCAGGGTGTCATCCGCGAATAATTGAGAACCGCAAAGTAAAAATCTGCGACCTTGGGGGTTCCCTGTAGTGTATATGAACAATATACACAGTACAAGTATACTGTATTGTACAAATAATATACATAAACAGTGCAGGTATACAAACAATGTGAGGACCGTACACCAGTTTGTGGGGGCAATATGTTTACCTCTGTTTCTCTCATTTAATACTCACCTGGGGTGCCTCAACCCCTCTAGCTGAGTTGGTGTGTCTCCTGAGTGTAGTGTAGTGTAGTGTATCATTAGTACTACTCTTACTTCATCTTATCTTTTTCCTTACATCAAAGAGAAGATAATTGTCATGAATTTTCTGGTATTAATATTTCTTTCTTTTGGGAAGGTCTCTAAAGGTTTCATAGAAGATTGTCTGTGGCAGTAAGGTTGTGGGGCACAAGATTGGTTTACTATACATATTTATGTAGGTCAAGTGACACAGGTTAATCTGTACCTAATAATATATTTTCATTGTTACAGGAACGATGAGAAAACTGCAGCAGACTACAAGGTCCAGGGTGGCTCCGTGCTCCATCTTGTCTTGGCTCTACGGGGAGGTCTTGAGGGATGTTAGGATAGTTGTACTGTATTGTGAGAACTGAGACACATCTCTTGGTGGTACAGTTCCCATCCCTCATAGACTGAGAGCATTAACTGCAAAATGGATCACTGGAAAAGGAAGAAAAAAAAAATAGAAGGATGTTGATTAAGAGGTTTTAATAGCCAGAGAAGAATGGCTTTATCCTTCCTTACCCTCATCACATCACCTGCTAGAAGAATCTGTCTCTCTTGTCCACTATTTATACACTCATTATTGAATTTGAAAGAGAATAGCTTTGCCAAACTGCCTGTATTGTATCTTTAAGCAGCTCTCAGTGATCTTATGCTGTACTGTACCTGTAGGTATTTCCCAACCACAGTATAACTGCTTGTAACAATGAAGTGTATCAGGTAAAGCACAAGCTCATTGAAAGTGTCAGTTAAAGATTTTTTTGTCTTTACTCACAACAATTCCACGTTAACATTGATTATTTTCCTTAAGTAGAAATATTTTATCAAGTTCTGTACAAAATTAATTTTTGCCATTCTTGCATATGCCTATTAGGTGCTTCAAGTGGCTATTCTGAGACAGGTTAGTCTTGCTTTTTTCTTGTTTTTTTTGACAAATTATGCAATAGCACTCTTGGTGGGCATGAAGCATTATATCGGACAGTACTGTATGTATGTCTGCGTCCACAACATGAGGCCTATATTGTGTCTCGTCTTAGTCAGCTTTGCTCTCCATTCAATAGCTTCAAGACATTGCATAACGAGTAAAAAATTATTAATTTATTCTGCATTGAAGGAACTGTATTGTACTGTATGTAGGATCATGTCAACAGTTATCATCTTGTGTTTGTGATATGTTCCAAAAATATTATTAATAAATTTTTATATATATACGACCTATTTATCACACTCTGACCCGCCAGATGTAAACAGTGACAGCCATGTTGTTGTAGCATAACTGTAGATCAATTACTGTACTGTGAAACCTCCATCTCTATATAGTTCATTAGATGTTGGTTTCACGTCTAATGGACCCTCGACATAATGGACTTTCATCTCTATACAGTTCATTAGATGGAGGTTTCACTGTACTAAGGAACAATTTTATAAGGTGTTTCCCCATTAACACAACTGGGAATGGCCAAAAATATGCAAAAACTACTTGTGCTGTTGTCTTGGTGCTGAGTTTCCTATTGTACTGCAGAGTGGATGATCCCAGCACAGTACAGCATCATGGCAGCTGGGTCATATGTCACGAGGGTAATGTTGAGGTAAATAATAAAATATATATATATATATCAGAGGCGTCAGTGTCCATTAACTTTACAGTTTGTGTGATGATCAGGCATCCCGGCAGCTTATTACACCTGATAATTGAAGAACCCAGCCCAGCCTCCCTCCAGGTAGGTAGTTGGTGTTTAATTTAATAAGGTTGGGTGACTAACCCTTAGGCCCCGGGTGACGTTCCAGAATGTCCGCCTATTTTCTCTCCATTTTTTTTTTCTTTTATTTTTCTTTTATTTTATTTTATTTATTTATTTATTTATTTTGAAAACTTGATTTTTTTCTCGATTTAACCCCACGGGGGGATACCGCCAACAGCACCCTAACCCAGGGCTTATGGGCCAATCTTCATGTGGCCCGGGAGGTATTACTGTAGTACTTGGACTGTACCTTAATAATGTAACTATTGTACACAGTGTAATAGAGTCTGTGGGGTACGAGTTATTTGGGTTCTCACTCAGGATGGGATGGTGAAAGGAAACTCACAATGTGCTTACTGTATACATGTTGTATTGGATGTACAATGCAGCTTGGTGCTGGGAAGTGGCAGCGTGGTTACAAGCGTGATGTAGAGAGAGCTGGTTGGTGAGGGCGCTCAGAGGAGGACCAGCTTGTGGGTCGCCATGCTCGCCGGCGGGAGCGAGGGCCGCCAGGCAGCGGCGGAGGAGGTGGTGTAGCTGGCTGTAGCTGGAAGAAGAGTGGTCACCACGAGGTCAGGTCTTAAATAGCGGAGGTAGGCATGGCTTAGTAGTTGACCTCCGTCATGTAAGGCGGCGCTGGTTGACCTAGACCACGAGGCATACACTGGGGAATTGGTGGGGTCGGCTACTCAGCGACAAACAGCGTTTGTAGGGGAGAAATCCACTACAGTATACATGATCATGAGAACATAAACTTTGATGAGGTAAACAAATGACTATTACGAGAGGAAATCCAAGTATATTTCATAATCCTGAATGCCTTATAAAGAGGATTTAATTCTTTTAAAAGTTTCCATGAATTACGAGATTGATTGAATTCTTTGATTTATTCCCACCGGTGTTGGAAACCATGGGGAATTATCTCCAGATTTAGGGAATCTGAGGCACAAATGGGGAAATCTACAGTCAATTTGGGGAATTTTGGCAGAGAACATAATATATAATGTATTACCTTTGAAACCTGAATTCTAGTGCACCAGCAGAAAGGATTTTCTCAGCTATAAACAATCTCATAGAAAAACAGACAGATTGTTTACAAAAATGGGAGTTGGGCTGCTCCATGTGTGAGAAATAATCCTTGCATCAATATTTCTGTTGATGATAAGCTAGTGTAGTGAAGACGACTTAAGATATTTATAAGGACAGTGATTCTGAGTAACACAGAAACACTTGTTATAAAGTAGCCCAATAAGGAAACACGAAGTGATTTAGTTGTACTTGTTATTACTGTGACTACTGCAGAATGGATATAGAATCCCAAGAAAGAATTCAGAGGAAAATGACATGACTAATCCCGGGCATTAGAAACCTCGAGTACAGAGACAGGTTAAAGCATCTTAATTTGCACTCCCTCGAGAGACGTAGAGTGAGGGGCGACCTGATAGAGGTGTATAAATGGAAGTCAGGGCTAAACAAAGGTGACATAACAAAGGTACTTAAACTATCCAACCAGGAGCGAACTGGTAACTGGTTTCAAACTAGACAAATTTAGATTTAGGCGCGAAATAGGTAAACATTGGTTTGGCAATAGAGTAGTGGATGAGTGGAACAAGTTACCAAACATCATCATTAACTCTAACACGCTGGATAGCTTCACACAAAGGTTGGATGGATATATTAACAAAAGAGGTTGGGTGTAAATGGGACTGCCCAGTATGGGCCAATAGGCCCGCTGTAGTTTCCTCCATTCTTATGTTCTTATGTTTGTAATTTCTAGTGTGTACTTTTCATTTTTTACACTTACACTTCTATGAAGGCGCACACATAAGATAGTTTTCTTATGGGCTAACCCAAGAATAAAACGGGTGATATTATTTATTTTACATTATTTTCAGTCTTGAAGAAGAATCATTTATTTTCCTCAGGTTATAAATACAGTATATACTGTACAATGAGGAATATTGTTTTATTTTTACTTAATAAATTGTGAATATCCCATTCTGGTATTTATATTTTTAGTATAACCTCTTTATCTGTCGTACTTGATTTTTATATTAAATTTTCCATTAAGTACAAGTATATTATGTGAAATGGGGAATTAGGGGGAATTTTTGCCTGGAGGCTCGGGGTATATCGCTCAACACAGGTTAGCAGCACTCAAGTGTCTCAGTGTTGACCTTCACTCGGTGCCACACACAAGGATGTCTACACTTATGGTTTAATTGATCACAGAAAGAACAGCAGGTGTGTTGCCTTACTTCCCATCACAGAAAACAACCGTAGAACATATAAAGAAGATTTAGGTAAGATATTTTGTTTGTTAATTACCATAATTATAAATGACACGACTTTTTACTGTTACCGAGGCGAAAATTATATACACAAAAAAAAACAACTTGATATCTGTCAGTAACGACCTAATGACTTAATTTAACTGGAATACATAAATCTCATCTGAACTTTTATTCTGTTGATTTACAAGTGAATAAATACTGGCGATTGTTTTGTAACAATCTGAACCAGCTGTTTAGGTTTAGTCAGTACTTGATTTACCACGAGACAAATGAGACAGTAAGTTTTATTAGTTTTTATCTATAATAAACTTATTGATATGAAAAGTATGTGTGTGTGTGTGCTGAATTATAAATACTGTGCTGTTAATAAGAGATCGGCGTGGCCTCCACTACCCGGCCCTGAGTGATGGTCGGGCCGTCGATGGCTCCTGTTGTATCCCGGTCTTTCCTCACCTTACATAATCTAAGTTACCGTAGTCTACCATTATGTTCAACAAATATAACTTTAATATAATTAATTTTAGTGGTTCACCTGATGTAATAGTTGTTGTAAAGATTCACAGCGATATTGTGTGGCAGAGCTTTACCTTCCCGAGGCTAAAGAGAAGGTAGAGTTTATTGATTTTTTGGGGGCGGTGAGGCAGAGATCAATGTCATTATTAATAAAAAAAAAAAAACTCATTATGTGTTCCCTAAGAATTAAACAAGAGCTTCCTTCCCTGCATCAGTGAACGTGTTAAAGCGTTGAATAGTGGACTACGAGGGAGTCAGCCCAGGAAATTATGAATAGGACTAAATGTGGTTATTGTTAGATGTTGTCCGCCTGGGAAGAAGAGAAAAGCGAGAGAGGTTTTGGGGAAGACTTGAATAACTGCATTGAAAGCTGCGGTGTGTGAGAGAGAGAAGGAAAGGAGAGAAAGAGAAGGAAAAAGAGAGAAAGAGAAAGAAAGAAAAGAGAGAGAGAGAGAGAGAGTGATGTAGGCTTTTAACGTGAGATTGGGAGGACTGGAAAGTGAATAGACTCGCTGGTAAATATGGCGCGTCAAGAATGAATGGAAAAGGGAGAGGGAGAGAAATGATAAAATTGACACTGAGGCAGAAGTGTTTGTTAGGAAATACTTAAAATAAAAAACAAATTCGTTAATATACATAACTATTTGGAAGATACGAGTAGTGATGGTGGTGGTACTGTGATGATACGTAAATACTGACTGACCTGTATAAATGGGTGGATGTGAAAACACTAGTGAAAGAGCTTTAAAGAATTGAGAAGTTTCATATAAAAGTTGGCGAGTTGAGGAGAGTAAATGAAGTTAGTTGAGAGAGAGAAGTGGAGGGGTAGGGTAGGTTAGGTTTAGTTAGATTATCTTTGTAATAATAATAATAATAGTCAATCATCATCATCATTATATTTGGATATGTTTCTTCACCTCCTCTTTATCGCTTCTTATCTTGCCTCCCTCCAGTTAGTGTTTCATAGTCTCCCATTTATCACATATTTCTTATTACCTGCTTTACAAGAGGAGGGAAAGGGGGGGAGGGAAGGAAGGGAAGGTGAGGAAGAAGGGGAGGAAGGGGAGGGGAAAGAGAGGAAGAAGGAGAGGAGAGAAAGAGAGAAAGGAAGAGTAGGGGAGGAGGAAAGGAAGGAGGGGCACCAGTGATCCGTGATAAAGATCTCAACACGGGTAGAGGGACGACCGTTGTGTGGCTCTGAAAGGCGTCAACAAAGTGTGTGTGTGTAAACCCCCTTCACAAACTACGCCACTTACTCTCTTTCTCTCTCACACCACCTACACCCCCTCACTTTTCCCGCCGTAATTCGACTAGTAAGGACGCTTGGTATTTTATTTCCAGGTGAGGGTATTTAAAAATCAGGTGAAATAAGATGATGGGTTAAAACTTCACACGTGATTAGTAAACTTGCATCACCTCCACCACGTATATATTTTTGGGTGAGAGGAGCCGTGTGGTTATTTTTTTTTATCGTTTTTTTTTATGACGAAGAAGAAATGTATGGAGTCGGTGCTGGTGGGTTTGTTTACGTCGTTCACTACAGCCAGCTCGTTAGAGATGTTTGTTTAGACCAGCGACGCAAAATGGTTAAAGTGAATTCCTTGACAGTATTTATTTTACAGTTTAATAATGCTTTGGTCTTCAACTACGATAATTCATC